CAGCAGGACTCGAGTCCTGCAGAGAAACCAAGGACCGCGCTGGTCCGTAGTTTAACCTGATGTAGAACCCTAAACCCTATAGATCCCTATAAGGAACCCTATATAGATCCCTTTAAGGAGCCCTTTAAGAGCCCTTACTAAGTCCCCTGATCCTCCAAGTACTTGGGGGAACCAACCTGAACCCTAAACCCTCAACCACTAAACCTTAAGACCACCCTAAAACCCTAACCCCTAAAGCCTAGACGCCTAAACCAAAAGCACGGAACCCTACACATAGTAGTTGGGGGCTTTAAAGCACTCAGGTCATAGAGGGCTCAGGCCTCTGGGAAGAATCTCGGGTGTTTGCGCTTTGGGGTTTCAGGGCTTAGGGGTTAGGGCTTTAGGGTGAGGTTTGGCTTTAAATTAAGGTTTCAGGGTTTGGGGCTTTAGGCGGGGTTTGGCTTTGGGACTTCAGGGCTTAGGGATTAAGGGGCTTGGCTTTGGGGTCCCAGGGCTTTGAACTGACCAAGGGTTGAGGGCCGAGAGCCCGAAAGGCTCTCCCGAAGAAGCCACCTACCTTAAACTACCAAACCCTACTTTTTCTTGTAGGTTCTGACTTATAAACCCCAACTTGGTATCTTATGGGGGGAGGGCGCTGCAAAACAGTAGGTTTGGGTAGGTGAAGGTATCTATATCTCCTTTGTATGTATATATGCATGTACATATGTACTATAGCATATAAATATACATCGTCACTCAAGTTAACTTACAACCAAGTAAGAATCGTATTAAAGTAAAGCCGAAACCGAAATCCTTGAGCCCGTCCTAAAAGTTCCTGGAAGTCTAACCCCTGCAGCCTGAACTCCAAACCTTTAAACCCGAATACCCGAAGCCCTAAATCTCTTCACCTCGTCATCCTAATTCCCGAAAAAACCCTGAACCTTAAAGCTAAACTCCTACACTTGAAGAGTTTCGAAAAAGATATTCCGCACTCCAAAGTTCTACGGAGAGCATAAGTGGGGATAGGTACGAATGATTCATGCATTGAAAGCCCAATACTAACTCCACACCCTAAACCCTAAACTCTTAAACCCCAAACCCTACAACTGGGTTGGCCTTTAAACACCCTGAAAAATATTCATATATAGGGCCCCTTATAAACCCAAATAAGGAAAATAAAAAAAATCCCAAAATCCAACCTAGACAAGCCCTAACCCTCATCCTCGAACCGCTCAGGGCGTGCATGAGAGGAAGCAAGTAGCCTGCGCCTTGTTGCTTTCGGACTGCAGAGCTTGAGGGGACAAAATCGTAAAGAGGGTTTAGGGTCTAGGGTGCAGGGTTTAGGGTTTAGGGTTTAGGGTTTAGGGCGTCTCGCCGCGCAGCGGCAGTATCTTCTATGTAGGATGGCGCCCCAACACTCCCAGGGGTGTGGGGGGGCGGCATATCGACGTCTAGCGTTCGAATGCGATTCCACCACCAAACAATTACACATTGGTTCCTCACCTTTTCCCACCCGCTGTGAGAATACACAGGCTACCACCCAAAACATTGCCTTTTAGGGTTTAGCGCTTACGCCCTCAATTCCCACCTGCCCCTGGTCTGTCTGTAGGAAGGACGCACCTACACACCCCACAAAACAGATAGGGTCAGGCGAGGGCCAGGGGAGGGCCAGGGGAGGGCCAAGGGGGGCCAGGGGGGCAGGGGGGGGCCAGGGGGGGGGCCAGGGCGGGGGCTAGGGAACCACGTTCAGAGGGCCAGGAAGGGCAGAAAACGCCAGGTCCCCCCCTAGGACCCGCCAGGAGCCCCCGGGTCCCTGGAATCTGCCAGCTGAGGGGGCCCCTGGGCCGGCCTCTGGTGCCTTTTCTGAAGGGGAGCCAAATGGAAATGACCACCAAGGGCTTTGGTCGTGGGGTTTAGGGTGTTTTAATCTCTTGAGATTCGAGGGAATTCCCTCTGCGAATATGGGCGCCACGCAAGGGGCCTAATGGCTCGGCTCAGCCCTAGGGGCTGAATTCGACCACTCTCCAATGGCTCCACCCATTGTCCATCCAGAGTTGGTGTCAATCACTGCCGGATTTCCTTCTTGGGTCCAAGCACCCTAAGAAAAAGGGTGGGTACGGCCTAAGCAGGCCTGGGTGGGAATTTAGGGTTTAGGGGTTAGGGTTTAGGGTTTAGGGTGTAGGGTTTAGGGTTTAGGGTTTAGGGTTTAGGGGTTAGGGTTTAGGGTTTAGGGTTCAGCAGCTCCGGGTCGAGCAGTTTTAAAGTAGCGTTGTGTCTATGGTTTAAGAATAACACCCACCCACCCTCAGAATCCCAAAACATTAAGAAAATAGAGGGTTTTTTTTTTTCATCCTTCGAAACACCTACCTACAACTTAGCTTCACACACCTCTATGATCACTTCCGAGGCTCGCCTTAACCGCAGCTCTTCAGCCGTCCTAGATCCTTCAATCAAGAATGTCCCCAACCCACCCTAGATCCTTTCTAAGAGTTTATGCTTTGCTCAGCTTACACCTGTATCGAGCAACCCCAAGCCACCCTCTCGATAGCTCTTCAACCACCCTAGATCCTTCAATCAAGAATGTCCCCAACCCACCCTAGATCCTTTCTTTGGGCCTCGACCACGAATTCCATTAAGGTTGAAATTACTATATGATAAAGAAATGACCAGATGTTTGGACAATTCGTGGTCCAGGCCCAAAACGTCTGGTGACCAGATGTTTGGACAGATGTTTGGAGGATTCGTGGTCCAGGCACGTTTTGGGCCTGGACCACGAATTGTCCAAACATCTGGTGACCAGATGTTTGGAGGATTCGTGGTCCAGGCACGTTTTGGGCCTGGACCACGAATTGTCCAAACATCTGGTGACCAGATGTTTGGAGGATTCGTGGTCCAGGCACGTTTTGGGCCTGGACCACGAATTGTCCAAACATCTGGTGACCAGATGTTTGGAGGATTCGTGGTCCAGGCACGTTTTGGGCCTGGACCACGAATTGTCCAAACATCTGGTGACCAGATGTTTGGAGGATTCGTGGTCCAGGCACGTTTTGGGCCTGGACCACGAATTGTCCAAACATCTGGTGACCAGATGTTTGGACGATTCGTGGTCCAGGCACGTTTTGGGCCTGGACCACGAATTATCCAAACATCTGGTGACCAGATGTTTGGAGGATTCGTGGTCCAGGCACTTTTTGGGCCTGGACCACGAATTCCATTAAGGTTTAAATTACTATGTGATAAAGAAATGTAGGGTTTAGGGTTTAGGGGTTAGGGTTTAGGGGTTAGGGTTTAGGGTTTAGGGTGTAGGGTGTAGGGTTTAGGGTGGGGTAATTCTCTAAACCAGGGTCCCGTTTCAGGTCTTAGGGTCTAAAGGGTTTACACCTCAACGGCGGGGCAAGTGAAACAAGCACAGGTTGAGGGCAGGTTCTCCATAAAACATCTTAGTTGCTGAGCTCATAAGCCCAAAAAGAATACACTTTCAGTTTTGTAGTGATATTATAAAATGTATCCACTCAGCTACTAAGACATGGAAAATGAAAGAGAGCAAGCACAAGAAACATGCGCCCCACCGGAATCTGGTAGTTACACAGTGAGGAGAGGCCGTCATGAGGACTAACTCGACTGATCAACAGGTGTAAAAGCCACGGGCACCGTAGATGGATGTGCCGCTGGCGATGAGGTCAAACCTCAAGGTCCGAAACTCTCGGCCGGGACGATCAGCAAGGCAGGCCCGCAACCGCCTCAGGAAATCTGCGCTTTCGGAGGATGTTGGTGATCGACATCCCTACCTGATAATGGATGTAAGGGAATGGGCCTTAGCATTGCCAAAGTTCCAAGTTTACGAAGTTTACGCTACGACTAGGGGAGCCTGGTGCTTGGTCAGCTAGCCGCTGTTGAGATGATTGCTTCAGGGTAGTGTTAGCACAGCCAAGTGGGAGTTTCCGAGAAATTGGGGACCCCAAGATAGTACCCTAAATAGTAGGATCCTTATTTCAAGGACCCCAAAATAAGGCACCCCTAATTTTAATTGTCGGAAACTCCCAAGTAGATGCGAACCCTAAATTTCCGCACAGGATCCGGGGGACTGGGCTGGAGTTCTCGTTAAGGGATTTGGGAGTTTCCCAACATTAAATTTGGGGTACCTTGTTTGGGGTCCTTATAACAAGGATCCTACTATTTAAGGTACTATATCAGGGTCCCCTATATTATTCTCGGAAACCCCGTTCTATTCAAGGTGCCATCATAAGGAAACCATATTATTTACCACAGATCCCTATTCTGGTAATTTAAATTAAATCCCTTAACAAGAACCCAGACGATCCTTGGGGCCGCGTCTAAAGCCTGACCTCAACCAAATAACAAGAAACCGACATGCCTGTGAGTCCTAGAGGCCCAGAGCCCTGTAACAGCTCTAAACACATCCTAAACGCGAAGACACAGATTCCGAAAATAGGGGACCCTAGTATAGTACCCTAAATAGTAGGATCCTTACTATAAGGACCACAGAATAAGGTACCTCCCCAATAGAATGCAGACACAATTGCACGTTCTCACTTCACACTAGTAGCTTGGTTTTTTCCGAACTCTCTGAGCCCTAGCCTGGGTTTGCAAAGTGAGCGCCCGATTTGCTGTGCACACACCCAATGCCTCCTTGGAGGCACCCAGAGAGCAACTAGTGTCTTGAGCCCTAAACGCGAAGGCAATAAAAACCTACACCCTAAACTCCAAGACAAACCAAGACACGACAAGCTCCTCTCGACTGCTTGGGTCCAATTCATCTGGCAGAAAACCACTCTGTGCCGAATGGCCTCTGGCAAATTCACCTGCTGGGCTAACGGTTTAGGGTTTTAGGGTTTAGGGTTGAAGGGTTCAGGGTTGAAGGGTTTCAGAGTTTAGGGTTTAAAGGTTTAGGTTCAAGGGTTCCGGGTTTGGGGGCTCGAGCTTGATGACTTCATGGGATAGGGAGGTAAAGCCTTCCCGCCTACAGCGAAATGCTGACAACTAACTTTGCCCCCCCCCACCTCGAGGTTCTTGGACAAAGTGCCGGCTGCATTCGCATCAACGACGGTCACCCAAGCGCCGTTCAAGGCGGCAGCGATGCTGCTAGCCCCAACGCCTCAGTCACAGCGGAAGAACGACTCGACTTGCGTTTAGGGTGTAGGGTTCAGGCTCCGCTGCGCCGAACTCTGAATCGATAATCCCTGATTATTCTTGCGGAGCGTTTCCGTTCAGACACGATGTGTCAGGCTAGGGTTCATGTCAGGCGCAGTCACAGGTAGACAATGGCGGACTAGTGAGAGCAGTACGCTGCTTGCGTGCAGGTTTGCGGTTGGCTGCGGGACACACCTGCCTCAAGAAGCTAATGTCACGAAACCCCTGAAATAGCTGGATTCCTTCCAGTCACGGAGAAGAGCTGGGAACAGAACATCTAGTTAGCTAAACCTTAAACATCCCTATGAACGACCAAACAGAAACGACAGAGTTTAGAATCCGCGAGCCACTCTAAACTCAAACACAGCTATAGGGCAGCTTTCTAAGTTTACTGTTTACTGCTTATACTTGGAGGGTGAGGGGACTTAGTAAGCCGTTTAGAAGTAGGGTTATAATTGGGGTAACTCCATTTAGGGTACTAATACCTCTACTTATAACCTGCTTACTAAGTCCCCTGCCTCTCCAAGTAGACCCTAAACCCTAGACCCCATAGATTCCTTTAAGGAACCCTATAGATCGGAGCCCTTTAAGAGCCCTTATAAGCCCCCTGCCCCTCCAAGTAGGGTTTAGGGAAGGGAAGGACGTCAGGGCCGCCAAACCCAATGCCCTGCACCCTTTGAATTCGGGGGTTTGGGGGGATCCACTATAGGAGCCTTAGCAGTTTCACAAGGGCTTTGGTGTAGATTATACTATACTAGGATGCCCAGTAACCTACATAGGAATAGCAAAGGCTCCCTTTTTGGTATTGGACAACTTTTATAGGGAACCTAGGACTCCCAAAAAAGGAAATAAGAGTAGTACTGGGTATCCTAGCTAAACTCCGAGACATCCAGGCCGAATGTCGTGAATGCCACAAGGCTTCGGGTCCATGGTCTGGGGTTCTCAAGGAATAATGTAGGGGCCTCAATAAGTAGACTAGAAAATGGGGGTATATTATACCACATTCATACTAAGGAGCCCCGACAATGGTATTGGTCATTATTTAGGCCCCTCTAGTAGACTCCTCATGAATAAAATCGCTAATATCAGGCCTGCTGCAGTCCCTATAAAGGTGAGGGAGGTTCAATAGTCACGGGTTTACATCTAAACACCTGGCCTCCCTTTAACATAATGAAGCATTCAGTGCACAAGCACTGCAAAGGGCGCTCATATGCGCAGATGAAGCAGTGCTCTACATTTGCCCTACTGCCGAACGTCGAATGCAGGAGTGCTCGACAAGCGGCCCCCACCAAACTCAATGTATTCCGCGTCTGCCCAGAACTCATGCCCGAGATCTGCGTTGCATTCGAACCACCTCAGGCTAAACAACTCAGGGGTGGATTGTGTAGGGCTTGGGGATTGAAACCATAAAGCACACCAATACCGTAAGTAAGAGTTTCGGGCTTGGGGCTTCAGGATCTGGGCTTTAGGGTCTAGGGACATTCCACTGTGGTGCGCCTCGTTCTGCGATTCAAAGTCTGGCTTTCGGGATCAGGGCAACTACGGCTACAAACCAATCTACACTTTGCCATCGTCCGGGTTTGATTGTTGAAAAATCTGGGCCACAACACATCGACAGTGGTAGACCAAAGGCTCCAAACACACATCTATAGTTATCTACTGTCCGGGTCGAGTATCTACCATCTTCGTAAATAGACCCTTCAAGTGGGCCGTAGCCGTAGTTTTACTTGGTTGCTGAGTTCATTCATAAGCCCCAAGTGTACACTTTCAGTTTTATAGTGTGTATTATTATCGAAAAAAGTGCAAAGTGTCTCCACTCAGCTACTAAGCTTAATTAAGCTTCATTTCCCAGGGTTCCTCTGAACCTCTAAGGCGAGCTCTGCAGTCCAGGGGCACCGGACGTCAAAGGGAGATTGGAAAACGCTTCTGGCACATTCTGTATGACCGTAACCGTCACAAATAAACTAGGCTCTCACAACCAAAAACTCACTCCGCATACACACTCTGCTCTTGTTGCAGGTCCCCACCAAAACGCACAATGGACGGGATGCAGAACACTCATACTAAGGCTCAGTTGTTCACAACTCTCCTAAACCCTGAACAGAAAACACCCTAACTTCTAACAGCCTTTCGACCCCCACCCTGAAACCATGATACTTACACTTGTATAAACATAAACCTCTACGAGCCGATTGAGACAAACCTATCTCTACAGCTTTCACCACAATCCTGAACCCTGAACCCCCCCCCCCTCGCTCGACTCTCGACCCACACCCTAAACCCTAAACCCAACCCTGATCCCTCAACCCTAACCCTCAAACCTTACTCCCAACCCCCCGGTAAACTCAGGGGATTGCAGCAGAGCTACCTAAGGAGCTGATAGCTTCCTGTCCAGAGAAAGCCAGCCGGCCACCCAGGTCCTTCGCTGCGAGTCGGAATTCATGCTTTTTAGGGTTTCGAGCTTTGGTGGTTCAGGGCTTCTGGCGTGCGTTCCAGAGTTTTGTGTCTAGAGGTTTGATTGTATTTTTGCTTGCTTTGTGGCTTTGTTGTCAGTAGTGACGAAATGAACGAGAGTGTGAGAATTTATGAGTGTGAGTTCTAGTGCGAGTGACACCAGAGTAAAACAACAACAAGTACCTGAACTTCCGATTGTTCGAATTCAACCCAAGCATACCCAAGCCCTGAGCCCTCAATCCTCATCCCGAACCCTACTTCAAGCCTTACCCCTAAACCCTAAAACCGCAAATCCCATAAACCCTAAACCTCTAGAGCCTAAACCCTTCGGGTAGCCTAAAAAGCTACCGTCTGAGGGTTCCGCGGTATGAGTTCTATGCATAGTTCTTTACATGCAAGGTGGGTTTTGGGGGTTACAGGTGAACCCTAAACACTAGACCAAAACCTTGTAAACCCGAAGCCTTCCTCCAAACTTTTTCCCGCCGCCCCTAAAAACCCTAAACCCTCTTCCAAACTCTCCCAGGAGCCGATCTTCAGTTGCATCGAATGCGCTGAGAGCTTTGGATCCGCAAGCTGGTGGATCTCGAGCTCCTGGAGGCTCACAGGAAAAGAGGTCCAGATCTAGGGTCCCTTTTAAAGGGCTCCTTTTTAAGGGATCTAGAAGGGCATCTAGGGTCCCCTTAAAGGGCTGGCTCCTTTTCACGGGATCTATAAGGGCATCTAGGGTCCCTTTAAAGGGTTCCTTTTCACGGATCTTTAAGGGTTCTAGAATCACAGAGGAGGCCGACATACGGTTTATAATGGCTGTATCGCTTTAGCTTCGAGCCTAAACTCAAAACTGATGGTTCAGAGACTTAAGTTGCAGAGTTCGGCAAACCCCTAGTTTTCTACATGGCCGAGGCATCATCCGCCACAAACCTCCCTCCTTTATGGGCTTGTTCACACAAACAGCTATAAACAAGTAGGCTAGTGACTATAGTGTTTTGGCCCGTTTCTGCAAGTAGCCTTCATATCGAACCTGCCAAAACCCTTAGACGAACCCTAAACCCTGAGCCGTTAAACAGGAAATACACAACACCATGGCCAAGGCGCCGTCGGCCGATCAGCGTCCGGAGCTCTGTATTCGACCTTCCAGAAAGACCATTTAGGGTTGAGGGTTTTTTTCGGAGGAGGGTGGATGACCAAATAGGGGGATATTGGGGGCAAGAGCGCGCCGGGGCGAACCGAATTCCATATGTATGTATGTAACCATGTGTAGAAACACACACACATATACATATACATATACATATACATATATATATATATATACACACACATGCATTTTTCCAGCTATATACTCAAATATTTATGTGTATATATATATATATATATATGTGTGTGTGTATGCTCATCTGTGTGTGTATATGCACAGTTTTAAATACACATAAACACAAATGTCTACATAAATGTACGTGTAGATATGTAAACATACCTGTATATATGCTTTTGTATGTACATATAATGATATGTAGATAGATATATACATATATATGTATGCAAATAAATGTTTGGCTTAATTTGTAGGGTCACGGAAAGGCTTCGGTTTAGGAGGGATCACGATCATGGGGTTGTAGGTTTGAGCACTTATAGTTAGTTTACATCATCGGGGCAACCGTAAATCCTAAACCGGTATCGGGGAAAGGATTCTCGGGCCTTGAGCTGCATGGAGGTTCGGCGCTGTGGCGCCGGGCTAGGATTTGATATCCAGCGTTTCGGCGCTTCGAGCTCACAGGTGTGTATGTATGTATGTATGTATGTAGATACATATATGTATACCTATGTAAAATACACACAGACATACATGCAGACAGACAGACAGCCAGGCAGGCAGGCAGACAGACAGACAAACACACACACGTACACACACACACACACACACATACATACTTGCGCACGTACATACATACATGCATACATACATACATACATACGTACTTATGTATATACGGGGCCTGTGCTATCAAAAAACCGAAAAACACTAATGTGCTCCGACTTGTCGACACCCTCATCCGAAACCTATACATCATATGGTGCGAATGCCGTCGTTACCAGCAGAGAGGAGGCAGGACCCAGAAACCTTTCGAAGACTGGATAGCATAGGGGCCTGAAAGTTAGTACCTAGAGTCTCCATTGTAGTTCCTTTTTCTAGTTAACCAATTATGGTTAGGATTCTATAATGGAGTTTTTGGCTATCCAAAAAAAGGAACTGCAATGGAGACTATAGGTATCACCCTTTCGAGGTAGCAGAAAGCCCGCACATGCTCGTGTGTACCGCAAACTCTGAAGCGACTGATGAGTAATGGGATCCTGAAACTACCCTAGGGCTCCATAGTAGTTCCTTTTGGGGGCTCACAGAGAGAATCCTATAAGGTAATCACCAAAAGGAACTACCATGGAGCCTCTGGATAAGCCTCTCCTTCTCAATACGAAAAACGACTTCATGTCACAACTTCAGAGAGAAGCGGCGCGGAGAAAGGTCGAAAAGAGGAACCTCGGATGCTCAGGTGTCGACATGACATGAACATTACGGTTTAGGCTATGGGTTTCGGGTTTTTAGATTGAAAGTTTCAGGGCAGCGGATCGGTCTTGTTGGTTTCAGGTTGAAGGTTACCAGGCTGGGGATGCGGTCTGAAAATCAAGCGGACCTGAGCCCTGCACTTCTATTAAGACCATATTTGGATGGTTGTCAAAATTATGGTCCCTTGTTGGGTACCCTAAATAATAGGTGCCGTATTAAAATAGGGACCCAAAAAGGGACCCTAATTTTGACAACCACCCATTTGGATACCCTGTGGTCTGAAATTGCTATATACGCTTCCTATGCACTACTTGGAAGATCAGGGGACTTAGTAAATTAGGCTATACGTACCTTAATCGGGGTTATAGTAACTATACAAGTGTAGTTACTTATAACCCTATAGTTACTAAGTCCCATGATCCTTCAAGTAGACCCTAATCCCTAAATCCTATAGATCCCTTTAAGGAACCCCTACAGATCCCTTTAAGGGGCCCTTTTAAGAACCCTAACTTACTAAGTCCCATGATCCTTCAAGTATGCCAATAACATGGACCCAAGAGTAACCCAGGAATAAAAAGGGTGCCCTTTTTGGTTTAAAGGGGCTTTGAAGGGAACCTGAACCCCCAAAAAAGGGAGTAAGGGCCTACTCTAGATGCTCGAATAACACTACCTCATAGGGTGTTCAACCCTCGGGCTTCTACAGCTTCGAGGGTCTTGGGGAGGGCGGGCAGGGGCAACAACTCACTGATTCCGAGACATCCGCACCATAGGACGTCTGATTCAGAGCCTTATGGGCCAAAGTCTATGTGTCCTGTAGAGATTGCTTAGGTTCGGGGTCTGGGGCTGCGGCGGGTTCTGAAAACGAAGGGACACTGAATAGAGTGACTCTTATTCTTCAGCCTGCTAACATATGCAACCTCTATTCGCACAACCCTTCTCTCGGACCCTTAAAGGAGCCCTAAAATAACACTGCTAAGGAAACTCTGAAAGAAACCGTGAGCTTGGTTCTGACGAAACCTTCAAGGAACCCCAAAATAAACACTGTTCAAGGAAACTCTGAAAGAAACCGTGAACTTGGCTCTGGCTGACGGTCGAGGTGCGGGATGGACGCGTCATGATCGTTCCAAGACGACAGCTTGCAGCAGAAGTCGTAGTTCATATTCGCCGAGACCAGGGCCTGACTTCAGCACTTACCTGCACCCTCAGGAACCTACCCTTTTTAGGGCCGCCCTAATATGATTTCTTTATATAAGTCTCTAAAAAGGTACGTTATTTGGGGTTAAAGTAGGGCTTATAATTATAAGGGTTAAGGGTTTCAGAGTATAGGGTTAGGGATTCGGGTTGCATAGGGCTTGGAAGGATTCAGGGTTTAGGGTTGCATGGGGCTTATGAGGTCAGGGTTTAAGGTTTAGCGGTAGGGCTTATAAGCGTAGAGTTTACAGTTCGGGCTTAAATGGTTAGGGTTTACAAGGGTTGTAGGGTCTAGCACTTTTAGGTCTTTTAGTGCGTTTAGGGTTTAATGTCCGAGGTCTTCCACAAGCAACTGAGACTGAAACTCTGGTACATCTTGGGTAGTTGTCAAAATTAAGGTTCCTTTTTGGGTACCCTAAATAATAGGTGCCGTATTATAATAGGGACCCAAAAAGGGACCAAATTTTGATAAACACCCTCTTAGCTTCCCACCCTCCAGGCCAACACCCCACTGCGCGTACGAACGGCACCTTACTGGATCCTGCAAAACTTGTGTAGAAAACCACTGGCAACCCAAAGCCACCCTAAACCCTAAACCTCAAACCACTCAATCCTGCACTCCTTAACCCTAAACTTACCCTTTGGTTGGTAGGGAATGGAGAAGTGGGGCACACTCATAACTACGATTGCTACCATTCTTCCATTCCCTACTCACCAAAGGTAGTAAACTGGCTGCCGCACCTTGTTCCAACATGCAGGATTGCCTTCGCCTTCGAAGACGTAGTGACCTCGTCTCACAGGGGAGTCTCCATTGTAGTTCCTTTTTGGATTAACCAAAAACTCTATTATAGGATCCCTGGTTAACCAAAAAAAGGACCTACAATGGAGACTATAGGTAGCTTGGGGCCTCAACAACTAAACCCTAAACCCGTTTCAGCATAAGAATCGGTACAGAAATGCTTGCAGCATCAACGAAGATCCATGTCCAGCCCGTGTTAAGCGCAGTTGTCGAGAAGTCATCATGGAATGGACATCATTACCATCATCAACATGAGCATCGTCGTGTCATCACATGTACATCACTGGGCTGGCCGGCAGCCCCTAAACAAAAGAGCTCCCTTTTTCTGTTTTGGGACAAGGGTGGCTTTGAGCAGGGCTGGGTCACGGATGTTGCTAACAAAATTGCCGTTCCCATAGACCCCAGGGATCAAAAAAGCCCGAAAGCCTTATAGAGCATGGTCTTTGGGCCCAAAAGCCTTAAGATGTGAGTCCTTAGATCCCTAGGGAGAGTCAGCTGCTACTTGAGCCCAGGTCCCTGGACTAGACGCGCTGGACTTTGCAAGATATCATCTGGGTTGGCCTTTAAACACCCTGAAAAATATTTAGATATAGGGTCCCTTATAAACACAAATAAAGAAAAAAAACGTCCCAAAATCCAATCTAGTCATCGCGACAGCCTTAGGCGTTTGTACTGTGCTCCGCATTTCAACGGCACTGCGGCGAGAGTTCGAAAGCGCATAGTAGCCCTACCCTTACCCTTCTAGTATTTCGCAAGCAGTGGAAGGCCACTTCAGCATGCGGGGCTTTTAAGCTAGTTTCCAGGTTTGGAGTTGAGTGCGTAAGCTTAAAAGCAAAGGACGCAATCCCCGGGTGCTACCTTCGGACTCGACGGTAGAATGGTTTGGATGCCACAGATGGTTCCAACCAGGAAGCTATACTTGAAGGATCAGGGGACTTAGTAAGTTAGGTTATAAGTACCTTAATTGGGTTATAGGTAATTATAAGTATGGATACCTTAATTATAACCCTAGTTACTAAGTCCCCTGGCCCTCCAAGTAGGCCCTGATGCCCATGATGCTCGTCCCGCGAGTGGCCACTGGTGCTGCCAAGTGCTACTCTCGGGCGCTAATGGCTTCGCGATGTGTCGCACCTATAGTCTCCATTGTAGTTCCCTTTTCTGGCCAACCCAAAACTCTATTGTAGGATCCTAGCCTAGCCATACAACTGGTTAACCACAAAATAAACTGCAATGGAGACTGTAGGTACAATCATCATGTGTTGGGAGGGAAGCAGATAATCAGGGATGGGACTGAGATTGAACGGCTTGCGGCCTGAGGGCATGGATATTGACAGGCTACGGCCTGAACGAGGCAAGTGCGCACATGCCAACAGGTTGCTCTCTCCCCAACTTGATGTACAAAGTTTGTGATGAATCACAAGGGCTACCCCCAAAAAGGGGATAACGGAGCCACCGGGAGCCCTAGATCATGATCAATATGATGATGATCGTCATCACCGTCGATATCGATCGTCATCATCACCGCCATCATCTCCAGATTGGGTTCGTGCCTTCGCCTTAGGGATTTGGGATTCGGATTTAGGGTGCAGCCGTGGAGCAACATTTGAAGAAGGTGACGTGCTCATCTTAGCTGCGACACTCTGCGCAATTCAGAAGCCATATGTATGTATGCATGCATGTACGTATGTAGTTATGTATGTATGTATGCAAGTATGCAGGTATGCATGCATGTGTGCTGTATACACTCTATGCTCCTATGCCTGTATGGGGAGCCCGTGAGTTAGGCTCCTTATAGTGCCGTATTGTGAGTGACATGCTTCGTTCGGGCGGATCCAACAAGGGATCCGAATTTGGAACACATACCATACTACAAGGACCCGGGAGCCTGTCTGGCTCTTGCACTTCAAAGTATGGTCGAAAAGCCCTGGGTTCAGCTGAAGCACCAGAAACAGCTCCCGAACCTAATGCATGCCATGACCCTAATCGTAAACCGCGATCCTAGGTCTTGAATAAAACCCGATACACCGAACCCCCGCTTATCGGAGCAACATCTCGGAATCACTCGATAGAGCCGAACTCCTCAACGCAGCACGTTGCTTTGGTTCAGGGTTTGGGTTGAGGCTCGGTTCGGGTCAGATCCGTCCCAAACCTCAAACTCTGAAGCCCCGGATTTGGGCTAATATACGGGCCGTTATGATCCGAGTAGGTCTGGGGCTGTACTATTAATAGTACAATATGAATGTGTAATTAGTCGTAGTCTAAGTGTCGATTTCAACAGTCCCCAAAATGATTTTTGATCGGTCTCAAAAGCAAACCATAAGCGAAACCCACTACAGTACCATGTACATCTGATTCCGTGAACCTCTCTGTACCGGCGCTCTTGCAACAAACCCACAGCTGCCCAACACAAACCAATCAAAGACTCTCACCAAATGTCAAGCAAAGGTTCCGAAGCACGAGTGCTTGGGCAGCAGGTACACCATGCCTCTGGCGTGCCGTTGTGGGCTTCACGGCATCAAGGGAAGTCTGGGGTCAGAAACATTACCGGGCGGATGAAAACAAAACAACATCGTCCTTCGATACAATATGCGAGCTGAAATCTTCTTATCTTCAGAAACCCTGAACTCAACATCCTGAACCACAGCTGTGCTTACCCTGGCTTGTTGCCTTCATTGGCTTCAGAGTCGCTGGGAAGGTTCGCGGCCCCGTAATGGGCGAAACCACCATGTTTACTGCAGTCATCATCAAGAACTTGGACCACCGCCGTCACCATCTTCACCACAACCACTAAGCATCACCACCGACACAAGCGTGATTGCCACCATCTTATTCAACAGCAACAACTACATCAGCATGTTCACCATGCCCATTCATTGCAGCTTCATCTTCCTCAGCAGACATGGATTGTTTGCACGGTAAGAAGACATGACCGTGGTAGTCATACACGATATCGTTGTCGTTGTCGTCATTGTCGTCGCAGTAGCAGTAGCAATAGCAGTAACAGCAATTGGCAGTAGTAGTAGTAGTAGTAGTAGTAGTAGTAGTAGTAGTAGTAGTAGTAGTAGCAGTAGTAGTAGTAGTAGTAGTAGTAGTAGTAGTAGTGGTAGTAGTAGTGGTAGTGGTAGTGGTAGTGGTAGTGGTAGTGGTAGCAGCAGTAGTAGCAGCAGTAGGAGCACCGGTGGCAGCCTAAATGGCAGCAGCGGTGGTCACAGCGATTAATCATATGCACGGCTGGTGTAGCACTGTTGGTGATGCTAGCACGGCTGCAGATCCTCGACCGTAGATGATATGCAAGGTTCAGTCCTAGGCAAATATGCCTTTCAAAACATTCTGGTGAACCGAAGGCATACCTGTAGAACTTCTCAGACTACCATCGCCTACTTGCTTGCAGCCTCCCTACGACGCAACATTAGGCCTAAGGAAACCCGACAACCAGATTCTCAAGGACACCGTTTGGTATTCTTCAGTGGCAACAAGGACAGCCCAGAAGCGAAGTACCATACCACTGGTGTAGCTCGCAAAAAAGCTATGGTACTTGGAAAGGCAGGGGACTTAGTAAGTAGGTTATAAGTAGAGTTATAAGTACTTTAAATGGAGTTACCCCAATTACAACCCTACTTATAACCTACTTACTAAGTCCCCTGCCCCTCCAAGCAGACCCTAAACCCCATCGATCCCTTTAAGGAACCCTTTTGATCCCCTTTATAGAACCTTCAACCCTTGTCCCCTGCCCCTCCATGCAGTTCTAGCGAAAAAGCAAAATCCTCCCAGAATTCGACGGCAGCCTCGCAACGTCTTTCCAGCGATACCATGGCTGTTCGCGCGACTTTAGGCTGGGGGCTTAGGTTAGGGTTTAGGGTTTAGGGTTTAGGGTTTAGGGTTTGGAGGGCCTAAACTGAAGAAGAATAGCGGGGATTGGGAGTGGAATCAAGCAGGTTTTCACCTTCAGACATCAGATCCTATTTCAAAATCGACTTCCCAGCTAAAGGTCTGCGCTGTGCAGCTTCGAGGCTCCCAACCCTATAGCATAAATTCTGCTTTAGGGTTTAGGGTTAATCTGGACTTTCAACCCTTCGAACTTCGAGCTGAACAGTTGTGATTCACAGTAGAGCCGTAGAGACATCTTGGGCCTCAGGATGAGCTGATGACGGTACCCAGAGACTCCAATATCCCTTAATGAAGGAATATTCCTTAAATTATAAAAGGATCCCTAATATGATTTAAGGAATATTCCTTAATCAAGGTATATTGGAGTCTCTGGGTACATGCCATGTGACACGGCTCCTGACACCCCTCAGAAGGTTGCACTGTCTCTAGCAGAAGACCTATGTATGTGACTTAGCATCTACAGAAGGTCCTCGTTAATTCTGAAGACCCAGGAACCTATAGTATAGTACCCCTATAGATCCCTTGTGGTAACCCTTTAAAGGAACCCCTATTCTAATTATTAAAGGCCCCTATTATATTGGGAACCTATGTTGCAGGATAGCCTTGAGAGGGTCCATGCTTTCGGTGTATCACCATATTACGGTCACACATTCGCAGCTTGCTGGACCTGCAGCGGACTCTAGCTAGCATGATGTCTGCGTGACGTGTACTATTTAGTGCATATTGAAATGTTCTATTAATTCTGCGGTATTGAATTCGTACCTTCGGAAACTCATGTACTCTTGATTTTTGTATTATCCACTTGCCCGCCCACCCAACACCGTCACCTTCACAAACCATACAATCCTGGGGGCCGCACACTCCATCACAGCATTGCAAAACACAATCCGAGCCGACCTCAGCGATTCACAGGTTTCTTAGGCGTTCGAGCTTGTTTTGTGTTTTGAACACCCTTTTAGGTCTGCTTTCGTCTAAATCAGTTTCCTGCTGGGCTCAAAGAAGCCTTAGTTCTAGCTGTAAGAGAAAAACATTTAGGGCCTAGATCTTAGGTTCAGTGGCCCTCATCTTCGGGTTCAGGGTTCCCAATTCTGCAGCAGCAGTTGCAAAAACAAACTGGGACCCAAGCATCTTACCGCCACTGTCTTTTCTGGACTTCGATGTCAGGCTAGAAGACGAAGGAATGAACACAGCGATGCTTTGGCAGCTGCGTACAGCATGCCTCAAGCGACATATCGAGGTGTAGTAGTTGTTCGTCGTCTTGTGACCGGATAGGTTCAACAAAACAGAAGGCTCTTTTCCGCAGGTTACCGGCGTCTCGAGGCTACATCGGAATAGAGGACACAAGTAGTCGTGTGACTCTCCTTTTCGATGGAACTGGTCCCCAGCACCCCTGTCCATGATTGCCTATGTATGCTTGCATGGATAGATGTATGTATGTATGTATGGGTATGTGCATGTGTGATGTATGAACGAACGAACCAATGGATGCAAGTATGTAGCCTGTATGTATGAATGTCTCTCGTAAGCACACACACACATATACATCAACACATAGATGAATGAAGCTATGATTGAACAGCAAAACAAACAGCCACCTGTATATGTACGTTACCATCTATATCTATATCTAGCTCTATGATATATATATATATATAGGTGTGTGTGTGTGTGTATACACACGCCGTCACATTTTCACACGTGAGTCAAGTCGTTTCGGAAGCTTTTGGCGTCCCTGCTGTTTGTAGGGGTGCTAGCTGCTAGATACAGATGTGACATGAGGACATCTGTCCATTTATGCACTTGCCAATGTTCACATTTTCACATAATCACACATGCACGCATTCAGAAAATACATAGGTACATTCATAATGTCAGCAACGGCTGAACACAATCCATCACAGCCTTCGGCCAGCTCTAAAGCAGCAAGATCCGCGAACCTCTCAGCCTTGCGGTGCCTCTCAAGGTGAGGAGCGTCTGGCTTGGGTATGCTCAGGTCCCCACGTCAGCGCACCCTGGCTGCAGATAGCTGTCGAGATCGTGGCTCGGGCCTATGTGCTTGAAGGACTCATCGACCCAAACATGCCCTATGAAACCCGGTGAGGATGATACAATAATTCGAAAAGTGCTTCTTGGCGTCCTCGTAACATCGAGCTGTGATACCCTATGGGTCCATGTAGCTGCCTAGCATGTACCTTGGCCCGTAAAGTGCCTAATTTTATAGGAACCCAGAATGAGGGCAAGAACATTAAAGTAAAGGTACATGGACCGCGGACCCTTAGGGACAGCGATCGAGTTGCTGAGTGGACACTGGCAAAAAAGGATCAGGTACTGACCATAGAGGCAGAGTGGGCTGTGTCGAAAAAATCTTGGAAGTGAGACTTGGAATGTGAAGAGAACCAAGACGTGGCGCAGTGGAACGCTGAGTGAGCCTGAAGGGCCAGAAAGCCTCCTCCTCCTAGGGCCTCCCCACCCAGCCTGGCAAGCCCTCAGACCGTTTTGCCACATAGATTATTCTTTACGCTGTATATTGGTGAAACCTAAACCGAAACCTGTGAACCCTAACTCTAAACTTGATAAAGAAACAAAGCACTACACACCCTCAGCCCTAATCGCTGCAACACCAAAGCCTTGCACCTTACACCCAAAAACCACTAGGCCCTGAAAGCCTTGAACTCAAAGCCCAAAACTCAACTCACGAAATTCTAATGAACCCTAGATCAACCCAGCACCCTTCAGCTTAAGTTCAATCCCGTAAGCCCCAAACATCTCAAACGCAAACACAAAGCCCTGTGAAACTTGTCGGCGTCACCATGCCACAGAAACCACGGCTTTCGATCCCGTCGAAGAGACGGACCTGGTTTGTGTTGTTTGTGTTCCCCGAAACCCTAAACCCCTAAACCCTAAACCCGAAACCCTAAACCCAAGTTTAAGGTTTATGTTCTCTGTGTTCCGTTTGTTCGTGTCGCACACTTGCTGGGCAATGATCACCGATAGCACAGACTACATCAAGCATCGGAATCAACATGTGTCTCTGTTTTGCTTGTCTGGGCTTTGAAGTAGCCAGGGAGAAAAAAGTATAGACAGTATAGACGTTTATTTCATAATGGTTCCCTTTAAATACCAGGTCCCCCAAAAAAAGTATTAAAGCATGGTACTCCAAAGCCCTGTTGTGCGTGTGTGTTGGTTAGTTTCATGTGTTTCAGCTTCGGATCGAGGCCTCTTCCTACATGTGGGTGGGTGTCACAATTACGGTCCCTTTTTGGGTCCTTATTATAGTACGGCACCTCATATTTAGGGTTCCCAAAAAAGGGACCATCATTTTGACAACTACCCATGTGTGTACAGGTTGGGCCTTTGTGTTGGGAGTTGAGGCTATGGAAGCCTTGGCTATAATTAACCAGTCTCCATTGTAGTTCCTTGCTTTCTGTTTTTGGTCCGACCAGTCAAATACATTTTGGATCCTGTCAGGTAACTCAGAATGCAACTGCTTCAAACCTTGCGCATTCGGATTTCGGGCTGAGGGTTTAGGCCAGCATTGGGATTTAAGCTTCTTCGAAGAGATTGGGCCTTTGGCGTTTATTAGAATGGCAGGCTTCAGGGTTCCCAGAGACTCCAATATCCCTTAATTAAGGAATATTCCTTAAATTATAATAGGATCCCTAATATGATTTAAGGAATATTCCTTAATTAAGGGATATTGGAGTCTCTGGGTTTAGGTATGCTTAGGCTGCGGCTTTATCGGGTTTAGGGCTTAGGGCCTTGGGCTTCGTCGTAGACGGATCGATATGCTCGCCGAAGTTCACTATCGGGCTCTAATGGTCCATGTACCAAAGCATAATTATGTAACCCGACCTACATACTCAGTCGCACAGGACATGGACCCTGCGGGTCAAGGGCTTGGCATGAGAGCTTCTTCAGTCGCTCAGTGCCAGGTATGCTTGCATTTGTACCACAACCAACGCGAAGTCTTGCTAGTGAAAGCTTGAGTGCATACTTCTGAGATGTATAGGCCACTACACATTCTGTTCGCCGTCGTCAGCGCAATCTAATTTACATTGCGTGCACACAGGAATTCCCCAGGCTCACTTCAAGAGCACACCGAACACGTGGGCTACATGTCGCAACCCTCAAAAACCCCAAACCCAAAACCCCTAAATCCCCTGAAGCCCCCGACCTCTGAAGCCCGGAGTCCCCTAAACACAAAGTCCTCAAGCGCAAGGGTCTACCCACTCTGTTCCGTGAAGCCCCTGTTCTCGCGTCTTAGCCGAGATCCGCACAGCTTCTGCGTAGAGTTCCGGTTTCTCCTTCGCTGTGCCGTGACTATCACATACTATCACGACATGAGCTTGGGGTCCGGGGGCTGGGGGTACTTAAAGCGATTTATGGTGGTAAACAGGGCTGCGAAATTTCGAGTTTAGGGTTCATGTTCCGCTTGGCTCGTCCATTTCCCGCCCTTGCCCTAGCATTGCTTACCTTAACCCTTGCTTCATGATCCTGATGAAGCCAAGGCCCCCACAACGTAAACCCCAAACCCACAACTTCAAAACTCAAACTCCTAAGGACCGCTCTAAGGACCCAGGAAGCCCCAAACGCCATCGCGATAACAACACCAACACGAGAACAGCGTAATGACATCTGAAGGAGCACTCCAGTGAAATGATAGAAGCCTAGCGCCCACAAACTCCAAACCACTCGGCCGTTCTCGAGAACAAGTGACAAGAATGGCGTGTTTTAGCCGCCATAGCAGTTAGAGTGGGGTCTGGGAAAAAGGGGGGGGGCGATATATGCTGGCGGAATAAACTGTATGTTGAACAGCCTTTATGAAGGAATTGTTATTTTTTGGTGGTTATAACTCGGACCCTTTGTAGTAGTCTTGTCAGAATCCAAACAGCTTTCCGCTAAGCACTCTGGGCGGTAGACGCTAGAGCTCAGACACAGGGCCCCCCAAGTCACCGAACCTCAAAAACTGTAGGACCCTTACTATGAGAGGCCCCTACACCCTGAACCTCAAAAATAAGCCCAAACCGTGTGTAAAGGTATGTAAAGCCTAAACCCTCTACACAAAAAGCCATTAGAGCTGCCCCTCCTCGGCCGAGGCCGCCTCAAGCCGCCGGAAGACGTGCAGAGCATCGCGCCTGAAAGGATCCATGCATGCGAAGGTTTTAACAGGTGTCTAACTTGGTAGCCCTTTGGCCAAGGGCGAAAATTATTTATGGATGGGGCCGTTGGCATGCGACAAACCCCAAACTACACGGGGAAAATAAGGTGATGCTGTGCCTGACTGGAGGGTCGGTCTCCGGCATCCCCGAACCCTCACTAAACCCCAAGCACCAAACCCCAAACACCCAGCCCACACCCTGAACCTTAAAACATAAACCCTCAACCCCAAACACTGAACCAGGAAAACCCTAAAGCCCGTAAACCCGTCCGAAACCCACGGACAGGCATCCCTCGGAAGCGGATCGTTTACGGGCAGAGCCCTTTTGCCCGAAACAGGCCTGGTTTAGGGCTTAGGGTTGAGGGCTTAGGTTTCGTTTGTTCAGGGTCTTGACATCTTGGGGTTTAAGGACTGCCTGGACTCCAAAAGTAGAACAGTAACCTTTTACTTTGCCTGCCTGTTGGGGTTGAGGCAGGGTTCAGGGGTCTAGGAACAAAAACCAGGCTCTAAACCCAACGCCCGTACACCGTGTATAAACTGTAGATGCAAAAACCCTGTACCCGGACCCAACCACTAAGCCCTAAATCCTACCGAACAGCGTAGGAAACCTGCTTAGATCGTTCGAACTACAGACCAGCTCTAAACTCTACAACCTCAACCCCCAAACCCTCGAAACCCAAACACTAAACTAAACCCTAAACCCCAAAACCCCAAACCCCAAACCCATCAACCCCAAGAGACTAAACGATTCGGGGTATATTCCTGAACTACGGGGTATAGGAGTCTCTTGGGATGCCCTAAACCCTAAACGTAAACCCCTAAACCCTAAACGCCTACCTAAACCCTACACCTTAAGCCCGAAACCCTAAACCCAAAACCCGAAACCCTAAACTCCTAAACCCGAAACTCTAAACCCCCAATCACGAAAGCTCCTGCTGAGAGCCCCGGCTTCAGGAGCGCCTCCATCTCCAAGACTTCAGGCCCCCGTCCCTTTGGGCTTCACGGTTTTGAGGGGTTTAGGGCTTAGGGGGCTACGGTTTAGGGCTTTAGGGTTTAGGGCTCAGGTGGCTTTGGGGTTTAGGGCTTAGGGGGCTTTGGGGTTTAGGGCTTCACGGTTTAGAGGGGTTTAAGGGCATATGGGGGCTTTGGGGTTTAGGGGGAAGGGTTTAAGGGTTTTGGGGGGTGCAGTAGGGGTTTAGGGCTTAGGGTGCTTTAGGGTTTAGCGCTTTTGGGGGTGCAGTAAGAGTTTAGGGTGTAGGGGGCTTTAGGGTTTGGTTTAGGCTTTAACTTTAGGGAAATAGTTAGGGGTTGGGAATAGGTTTTAGGGTCTAGGGTTTGCTGTGCTTACTACCATGAGTATGATTTTTATTTCGACCGTGATCATGATTATGATTGTGGCTGTGAATATTGGTACTACTCTGTAGAGCGAAGTTTTTATCCTTGCACCAGAAGTTACAGTACTATGACTGTCAATATTCACTGGTACTGTTTATGAACATTCCTGGTACCAAATACTATGCACTGTTTACTATGCCTGTTGGCCTTTCGATGTTATTTGTTCGTGGCCAGTGTTATTTCTTCAGTTTTATGCGTCCGGGCCACTGATACATGAATCTCTGCCCTTAAGTGCCTTCATTGGGGATCGGCCCCAAGCACATCCTGGTAAATTTCAGTTACCAGCGGCGCGCAACCACGGAAACATCCATGTTCTTCCAACGTTGCGACTCATCGGCAACCACACGAAGATACTAACCTCTGAAACCCTAAACCTTGCCTCAAAGGCCCCAAACACTCAACCCTTCGCTCGCCGAAACCCGAAAACAGCCCTGAACCCGCAAAACGGTACATGAAGTCCCGAAGCAATGCAACCCCCTAAACCCTGAAAGCTATGAACCCTAATAAGAACCCTAAACCCCAAACCGTGTCTGCTCCGGGGAACCGAACGAGATGCTTGGCAATCGCTTCCTTCGTGCTAGGTAGGTCTTTGGGTAGCTCGCCTTCAAGCAGTCTAGGGTTTAAAGTTTAGGGTCTAGGGTTTAGGGTCGAGTCAGTCTTGCAAGGCTCTGTAGGGCTCTGATGTGAAGAGGGTTCGTGACGATTCAATATTCAGGAACACAGATTGCAGCTTTGAGCTGCTTTTGTAGGTGATAAAGGGGGGGTGGTCTTCAACGACTGATGGCCGTAGGGCTTAGTTTTCTCAACGCAGCTGTAATTTAAGTAGAAGCCGGTTAAGGCTTGCTGCAGCTTTCGTTTGCATGCATTGTGGCTTAGGGTTCTGAGGATTGGGCGGCACATGGTGTAGCAACACGGCACTGCGGCAGCACTCGCGGACCAAACAGCAGGCTGGGTGTGAGGGTGTGAGGGTACGATCTGTTCCGTCTCTCCAAGGGTAAAAGGAGGGACCCTTAATAAGGACCCCTAGGTATATACCATTAATATAGCTATTACTATTATATACCAATTATATACCCATTACATAGCCCATTATAGGATAGGGGTCCCCATTAAGGGTCCCTCCTTTTCCCCTTTGAGTCTCGTAGCATGCAAAAAAGCGGCGAAGCAGATCGGGCCACTTCAACGGGGCTGCCCGGAGAGCGACACATGCTTGAAGCATTTCTTTGCAACCACTTGCGAGCCTTGGCAAATGCCAAAGACCGAGCACTTATGATCTGATCTCGTGCAGTTAACTTCCAGAATGCGTGCAGTTCTAGAGATTTTTGAGTCTGCTCAGAATTGAAGCACTTGGCGAAGAGCTGGCCAAGCACATGGGCATCCCCCAACCGCGGTGGCTAAACCAAAGACTCAAAGAAATATAAATCAAGCCACGTGGTGGAGCAGTGGTCTGTGCCGTGATTGGTCGATGCCCATGCTCGAATGCGTTTGTCCACCGAACAGCAGCAATCATGCATGCATACATGCACTCGACATTGATAAGGGTTATGATCGGGATGGGAATTTGATGAGGTCCACCTCTGATGAATGAACAACAGAACCTGCCTGAGAGTGTTTACGGAGGGGTTGGGGTTTCGGGGATTACTTACGGCTTAAAATGTCAAAGGTAGAAACGGATCCATGCAACACGACATGAGGAGCACAAACACACACGAGGGCACAAAGTTAACAGCCAGGGGTCTAATTCTAGAACTGCCCCCTGCCTAAACCCTAAACCACCTTAAGCCGTAGACCTGCAGACACCAAGCTCGGAAACCGGGCCATATGTCAGCCCCAAGAAAAGGGACATGACACGACTTTGAAGGTGAATCATGAGATTGCCCGCGCTGATCATGCTGCTGAATCTCCCCCAACCCTACACCCTTAACCTGTCAAGGAGCTTGAGATCAGAAGACTGAGATACGACATGAACCGAAAATCAGATCATGTGCTACAGACCCCTACCATGGCTCTTAAAACCCTAGCACCAAGAGAACAGAGAACTCACATAAAATCACATTCCCGTCATTAAGGCTTCGGTTGAGCCGAAGATTGCCTTCTGTTGCCGGCAACATGACCTCCGATGCACGTGCCCCGTCAACATGCCAAACGAAGGCAAGACATACCCCGAAATCTGACGAAAAAACCTGCCAAAGTAGGCTAAACCCATGATTAGTCCCCACTCCTGTCAACGCGTCAAACCCCGGTTCATCCTAATTCCTAGAAAGCCGGACAGCTCCCGAGCCCCTCCACCCTATGGCCTGCCACCTTCCGTCGGCCTCCCTTGGGAAGGCTCTCATTTCTGGCCGGCTCCTGTCGCGGATAACGACGACGACGAACTACTAGTACTACTAGTACTACTCGTACTACTAGTACTGCAACTACAAGCGCAACTACGACTACCACTGCTGCTGCTGCTACTACTACTACTACTACTCCTACTGCTACTGCTACTGCTACTGCTACTGCTACTGCTACTGCTACTACTACTGCTACTACTACGGCACCTATTGCTGCTACTACTACTACTGCTGCTACTACTGCTACTACTGTTACTACGACTGCGAAAACTACGACTACTATGACGACGGCTACCACTATGACTACGACGACTAGACGACGAGTACTACTACTGCTCCACTACCACTACCACCACCGCTACCACTACCACACGACCACTATCACTACCACTACCACTACCACTACCACTACCACTACCCCTACCACTACCACTACCACTACCCCTACCCCTACCCCTACCCCTACCCCTACCCCTACCCCTACCCCTTCCCCTACCCCTACCCCTACCCCTGCTACTATGACGACGACTACTACTGTCGTCATTGGACTTCCCGCCGACTGGGTTCAGGGTTCATGGTTTGTCCAATACCCCGTTACGCAAGCAGCGTTCCATAAATTGAGCGGGTTCATTATCGGGCCTTTGAAAGGGTATGCATTCTCCTACAGACTAAACCTATACTTCAGGCTTCGTTACTGACAGGTTCTTGATGCAAGTGTGGTGTCGGGCATTACGACGAAAATTCTGGGTGGGGTTCTCGAGAGCGGGCCGTTAACTAAGGGATGTTGAATAGTTGACTCCTTGAGGGGTTCCGACAACTACTACCCTTATGGTAGCTATGGCGATAGAGCATGCTCTTCACGGCCCGCAGTCCTGTGTATCAGGCTCTTCCTTCTTCTTCTTGCCCTTCTTCTTTTTCTTCCTGGCTTGAAGGTGATCCGACAGAATCAAGAGAGTGTAGGGTTCGGAGTTTAAGGGTTCGGAGAAGAGGCACTGAAAGAGCCAGCCTAACTGCCCAAGGCAGCACGAGTCTCTTGATCCCCATATTTAAGCCTGAAGGGTAAACTTGGACATCCTAAAACCACAAAACCTTAAACGTTGAAAAGCTCCGAAACACTTCCGGTCGCATATCTCTGGAGGAGAAGATTGCTTCCCAACAAGCAAGAAAACTCCGAACAACAGCCGCACGTCCTGTGACCTTCGGTTTTCCGGATCGAAGGTTTAGGGGTTTCAACATCTTTAAGTCTATCTCAGTTTTTGCTGTTTGAGTCTTTAGGGTTGGAAGGTTTGGAACTCTAGGTTTTCGAGCACAGGGCGTTGAAGTCTATAGGGTTTAGGGTTTAGAGTTAGGCCTTCTTATGATGCAGTGTCTGAGGTTTCACGGTTTGGTGCTTTGTTGGCGTTGGAGGTGCTGACATGCGATCGCTCTGTCCTAACGAACCATCACCGGGGATGGTGGAGGAGGGGCGTTGCCTTGAACTACCTGCAACCCCTGACTTAGAGGTTTAGGGTTTAGGGGTGTGGTTTGTTGTCATGGCCCCGGCTGAACTGCTTTGACCGTCCATCTTTTGGATTGAGGAGCTCGGGGATCGCGCTGTCCAGCATCCACAAACCCAAAAACCTGAAACCCTGCGGCCCTGCAATGCCAATGCATAAGTTCAAATCCCAAGCTGCTAACAAACCTAAAGCCAGGAAACTGTCTAAGAACAACCTATAATCAAATGGATTGCGGAGCTCTGAGAAAACCATTCAGAGCATTAGAACTCCCAGAAGCCAAGAGCTGTTCCACAAGCCGGGAAAACGCCGTCAGTCTGGACAGCAGAATCTCGGCGGCGGTTAAGTGGGGACGAAGTCAGTTTCGCAGCTGCGGCTATGCGTGCTTTCAGGTTATCCTGCAAGAATCTCAGGTAACCCACCCCAACGGTCGTAGGTACCTATAAATACGCGGGATACTTATACAGACCAGGAGGGGTCCTTACCCAAACCATATTAGCAATTCCAAAAATAGAAACCCTCATCTACTACATAGGTACTTACTTAGGAGCCATTGGGCGAGAACAGGCTCAAGAACCAAGCAGACGTATGTAACGAAGCTCAGACTCCCCAATGAGAAGTTCCATATTTGGCGGTTTAACGGTTTAGGGTTTTGGATTTATAGAGTGTAGGGTTTACGGTTTTTGAGGTGTAACGGTTTCGGGATATAGCTACCGGACGGAATGGCCAGACTTGGGTTTCGCAGAGTTAGCTGCATGTTACAACACCCTACCAAAAAACGTAGTACCAAGAGGTAAAATCTTAGAGCCCAAACCTGAACACCAAACATTACGCAACACAAGATACATGTGGGCAGTTCTGTAAATCAGGGTTTTTGGCGAGGACCTAAACGGACCCTAATTGAGAGAATTGCCCATGCAAAAGCACCACGAATGCCTGTCCCTGCTTGGAGCGTGTGGGGCATAGTAAGTAGGTAATTAGGTTGTTGAGTTATAAGTATCCTTTCCCCAATTAGGATGCGTTTTGGGGTGCATGTAACTCTACTTGCTACCTACTTACTAAGTCCCCTGACCCTCCAAGTACCTGCTCTGTGGCCCTGGCATAGTACAGTAGCAGCAGCGCCGCTGCAATGATGCCCTTTCGTCATTCGGGCTGAGTGTCAGCGGGTTCTCCATAACTGTAGGCCCTGTACGGTTGAGGGTTTAGGTTTGAGCGCTTCGGGGCTAGGGTTTTGGGGTTCGCAGTGCAGAACGCCTTGGAGAATGACACGATCAGGTGCATGGCTTTCGACAAACGGCTGGGCCTTCTGATGTGAATTCACGGGTATGACTGCCCCGGCTACTGCAATTACCTAGAATGCCCAGTAACCCAGGAACAAAAGGAGCTCCCTCTTTGCTATGGGACAACTCTTCTAACTCTAAGAGGTCTAGTTACGATGTCCGACGCCACTGCATCGTCTGCGCCCGTTGAATTGCTGGTGGCGTCTCACCGACGCGAAAGCTGTGTTATCCTACGGTTTGCCGTTCTTAATATCAGCCCCAAACCCTGACACCGACGATTGTTAAGTTCAAAGCAGCCACAACCGCAACCCTCGACCCCCTTCGAGACATAACTAAACTAAGCCCTCAACCGAAATCCTAAATCTTAAAGCCCTAAACTCCAAGCGTAGAGACCTGTCTACCGATTGCGGCACTGAGCCAACGGCGCAGATGGCAGCAAGCCACTTGGCTGCCTGGGCACAGAGATCGCAGATGAGGGCTCTTTTTTAACCGTACAACCCGTAGAAGAGGTTTTACAATATCTGCGTTTAAGATTGCCTTCGTTTATGCTTGAGGAAATGAGCACCATAGTTGACTGCTTAGGACACACTCGGTACCCGGAGCCTTAACTACGGCCCTGGAATATCCATGTCAAGACCGTGCCGCTATGTGCTGAGTTGCAAACCCTATGCTCAGAATCCCGGAAGCATCTTCTCTATACTGAGCCTTTGCGCAGGGAACGATATCTTAAAGAGGACTCTGTCAAATGCACACCCCTCCAGACCATTTACAACGTAAGTGCTTGCAAATTCATGAATCATTCCTGTACCCTAAACCTTGACAACAGTTGGTTTTGCTTACAGGTCTGAGGGTTTGGGTTCCAGCGCTTGGCAACGTAGAGGATTGGTGGGCAGACACGGCAGCAGACAAGTGCCTTAGTGTTAGGTATTTCGTCATGACTACTAGGCTTATCTTAGGGCTTGCCGTTGGAATGGCAACATGATGAATGCAACGCTTATTTCTGCGTAGCATCTGCAGAAAACACCAAGATACACGAAGTGATTAGCATTGAGAATTGACATGCATGCAGGTAACACACGGGTACTAGAAGTGAGCTGAAGCTTCCACCTAGACGTATGACTGGCGCTCTCATCGTGATAGCGGTGATGGTGCTGCTTGTGGTGGAAACCGTACACTATCCTCAACCCCAAACCCTAAACTAGGATGCCCAGTAACCTAGGAATAAAAAGGGCTTCCTGCTCGGTACTCGGTAGCTTTATGGGGAACCTAGGCCTACAAAAAGGAACAAGGTTACTACTGGGCATCCTAGTCAATGATAAACCTACTTGTCGGGTATCATGGGAACTAAAGGTTAACCTTTTTGGTTATATAGGGATCATGTAGGGGCTATACCACCCAAAAAAGGTTAAAGGTTACCTACTCTACTACTAGGTAAATCCTAAGCGTCGGCAAGGATCGAGGCCAGGAGCTGCGGATGGCATGTACTTAGAGGATCAGGGGACTTAGTAAGTCAGGTTATCAGTACCTTAATTGGGGCTATAAGTAAGTATATGTATGGTTACCTTAATTATGACCCTAGGTACTAAGTCCCATGATCCTGCATGTAGAGATCCAGGCCGGCAAGCGGAGCGAGGCAGGGGTCTTTGCGAATACCGTCGCAGACCCTAAGCCTAAGCGAGCCTAACCCGAAAACCCTAAACCTTAACCCTAAACCCTAAACTTCAGAAATCCCTGAAGTCGCAAATAAATAGCATGAAACTCAACCCCTGCGGCTTGAAACCCTGAAGACCTAAACGTCCCAAACCCCGTGCCCTAAACTTGCATCTATGTCGAAGCCACCAAGGCTCCGGCCGACATCGTCCCATGCAAGGCGCACAGCGCCGAGAGTCTCGTGAACCCGAAACCTTAATATCGTGGCCTTAATAGTCAGAATAAGACTTTGAGGTCTACTGAAATATACGTCGAATTAGGAACCCTAAAAACATTGGTAATTGTTCAGGCTTTTCTGTTGGTGTATGAGAGTTTCTCATCACACGGGTACCCGGATGGAATTGCAGGGTATGTAGTATGTAGGGCTTATATAAACCTTACAGGGGTCCTGTTTGGGGACTACATAAGGGTGAACATTGAGAAACATACCAATATCATTGCTATCTTGGTGCTAATTGCTAGTTCTTGTCAAAAAGCACACTAAAAGCGCCAAACTGACAATAGCACCAGCACTAAGAGGAACGACAACAATGATAGTGCTCATTCGGGTCTGAAAGACGCAGCTTGATTGAAAAGTTTCTGAAGCTGGCACAAGAAAACACGACAATAGACCTCCAAAAACATTGGAGCCTGAAGCCTCACATTCCCCTGCACCTTCAATGCTCCTCTTGTCGCTACCCATATCGTACATAATGATAGTATTGTTCTGTTTATCAATATCACTCTTCGTACTTTCATGTCTGATGTTAGTTTTAACAGTTATGACAACTAATTGTGATGCGTCGCTCGGGCGGAGTTGCAGCTTCCTGCAGGACAGGGTTGTTACCGTTATTCTGTGTTGCGACGTGTGATGCATTTGATGAGAAAGAAGCAAATAGCGGTATCAGCCTCATGGAAAGTCGTAGCTTGACTCGAAACAGTTTCTTACAACTCTCCATTTGAGGATGCATTCCGGTAACACTCTTTTTCGCTACCGCAAGAAGACGAAGTACGTAAGCGAACTAATGTGCTGCAGAGCGCGCAAGTGTAGAACGAACCGACGGGCGTTCCGCGTACAAGTACAATCATTTCCTTGAGGCCAAAATCTCCGTTGGACTTGGACCCCTGAAACAGCTTAGTTCCGCAGCCCTGGAGTACATTTTGATTGTGATTTGTACTCACCAGCTTAGAAGGAACGACTGCAAACATGCAACTCACGCCCCCAAAAAAATCCAGAGCCTCTTTCGCGACAGAGCCTTCAATGTAAAAAACATAGTAATATCAAGGATACTAACTAATGAGCATTGCAATAGTAATTAATCATATTCAATCTCCTAGAGACCTGATACGATCTCAACGACCTGCATCCGGTCAGACTAGAATCAACACATTAAGGCCTTTGGCTCTGCGGCCTCAGAAGAATCTGACTCACCATCATCGCTCTTCCGTTCCTCGCTGTAAGAGTCATCAGCCGGCACCACTTCAAACGAATGGACTTCCCGGTCAACAACCGCCACCCACTCGTCATCGGTGCCCTGCAGTGCCAGAGCCCCACCACCAAGCATATTCACGACTTCGGCCATGCCAATTGCCGCCATCAAGAATGAACCTGTGTAACAATACCTGATTGCGCCAAGCAGAAAGCTTATCGGCTCGAGCACCACCAGGAAGCAGGCGCACGCGAAGAGAATCCGGAAAAGAAGTGTGACTAGGCGTCGAGCCTCCGCATCCTCAAGAAATCGCCCGAAACAAAAGGCGGCTTCGACTTCGAAGGCTTCTGGCTGTTTGTATCGGCGTCGAGCCTCGACATCCCCAATAATCAGCCAGGGACAAATGGCGGCTTTGAGGGCTTCTGGCTGCAAGGTGCCGAAGCTGGGCACCGGAATCAGTGGAGAGAGGAGTCCACTAGAAATTGCCAGCAGCCAGCTGTCCCTGCAGCTCAAACGCTCGCGTTCATTAGCCGCTGCATGAACACTCAACCAAATGGCATCGTTCAGGCAGATGATCGACATCCTCGAAACGAAGCCGAACAACAATTGCTGTACTGCCGCTCTCTTAAGCTCTTTCTTCGTATCGAGCTCGAGTACGAAGAAGTGAAGCATCTTTACAAGAAGGTGCAGGCTTCGACTGGTAAGGGCGAATGAAATGCATATCCACGTGAACAGGCTGCATTTCAAGCCTTGTCTGTCGAATTGCATCTTCCCCCAATCAGCCACACCAAAAACCATGGAGGCAGCCCCCACAGCAAGAGACAGATATTGAAACCACTGAACTTGCCACGCCGGGTTCTGCAGCTGGTCGCAGTGCCAGTAGTCATAACTACTGACATTGAAACCGAAGGAGCTACTTGTATCACTGGAGGCCAGCCCGGCGCATTTTGAGCGCATGATCGTCAGCCAAAACACGAAGTAGGTTTGGAAGCCCAGCTGCGGGAGGCTCTCGAACAATGCCTCATTGAACTTCAGCCTGACAAACTCAGCCTCAAAATCAGCGTGCTCCTCACAACATAACGCCTTCACACCCACTTCCAAGACATGCACGAAGCTGTAGAAGAAATCCACAGCCTTTTGCGTTTTCAGATAGGCTTGAATGGGATTCAACAACAGAAGCGCAAGGCAGACGATGCTCCAAACAGGCTGTTGCATGGTCACCGCCAGCTTGTAAAGGACCAACAAGTCGCTGAGCATGTCAAACGCGAGCAAGCCCAAAGATGCGCAGATTTTGGCCTTCCGAAAGCCGATAAAACCAGTGCCGGCTGCACAGAGGACGAGAACCAGCAGCATCCACAACCAGTATGAGGCAACGAAATCGAGGATCTCATCGATCATTCCCTCTACAGCAGGGTCGGTCCGCTTCATGAAGAAACTCAGGACGACCAATCCTGCAGTGAGAACTGGAAGAAGATAGACAAGGAGAACAAGGAAGTGGCACAAGAGCCAGCAAGCAGAAGCCCAATGTGCATTGGGAGCCATCAGTTGCTTGCTCTACGAAGAAACGTGGAAGGACTTGAACTGGAAATGTGTGGAGAGCATCAGTGAGATAGACAAGAACTGGCTCTAGACTCAGCTGCCTGAGTTCCTGCTGCTGTTGGAAATAGGTTCATGCTGCGTTATTGGGTTACATCACTGAACGTCCGCTTGATTTACAGGTTAGGGTGTAGTCTGTGGGCTCCAGGTCCTACTTGCGTCATACTGATCTGATCGATACCTTAGCGGATGAAACGGAACATTGAGTCCTTAATTGTGAGGAAAGAGTTTGGTGGGGGGGGGGGTTATACTGTATCGTACTTCAACAGCCACTATCCGGAATTTTTTAGTAGTTATGCAGGCCCTAAACCCAAAATACTACATTATACAATGAAGATCTCCAAGCCATGCCACGATGCTGGAAGAGAGGGTCCGAGGTTAGACTCTGGGTTTAGGATGACTTAAGCGCTTTAGGTTTAGGATTGACAGGGAAATCTTGCAGCGATACCCTCAGCCCTATGACCCTAAAACCTAAAGCCCTAATACCCTAGACCTTGAACCCTAAATCTCTAAACACCTAAAGCCTAAACTCAGACAATGCATTTTTTTTGGCGTCGGAATCGTTTAGCAATAGTGTCCCCAGGCCACCAAAAAGCCTATTCTGATCACTGAGGCTCTACGTTATCGAAAGCTTATAAACACCTTAAGAGATACCTTGGGAAAAATGACAAACGTAGTCTATCCAGCGGCAGCAAAGTCCGACTCTGTTTCCAGGGAGGTTCGTTGCAAGGCTCCGGCTCTTTGTAGATTTAGGGTTGAAGAGCTTAAGGTTTATTATGCTGCAACTGGAACTATGCAGGCATACTGTTACGACAAAATTGCCAAGGGCTCCGACCCCGAAATAAACAGCAAACCGTCGCCTGGCGGAAAACCACGCATCCCTGTGGTCCTTTTTGCGACTAATTGATGTGCAATAACACTCCACAGTCCGATGTGAAGCATTGTGCGATGATCTGCAAGGTCGAGCCGCTCGAAATCGCCATACCCTAAACCCATACGCGAAACCATAAAACCTACAAACCCTAACCCCTTAACCCTACAAGCCCTCAACCCCAATGCCCTGTCAAACTTTTTAAGGGCCTTCAGAAAACATCAGAATTTGGAGGGTTTAGGCTTTAAGCACCACTGCCCTAAACTCTGAAGCTTCAAGCCCCAAAGCCCTAAACGGGTCAAGCGATTCGGACCACAGGCTTTCGGTTCGCGGGCTGCATGGGCTTCGGGTTTAGTGAACTCAGAAAACACCTTTTGCCTGGGCCCCGAAAGTATATGTACTAATGGTCTTGTTTAGGTGTTGGGCGACTATTTTACGTACTTTTCGGAGGTGTAGGAACTAGTTGTCTAAAGGGTGTGTCATGCGGTGTGGTAATGTGTCTCAAAGGTTTGGAAAAGGGTCTCTGTCCATCCAATCGAAGTTCGGGACTGACGAGGCACGCTACGGACTAATGGAACATAAGCGACACTAATGTTTCAGCGGGTCTACTATGGTGTACCGGTTTGTCGTTTCTTACCCTACTGTCGGCACCGGGCATGACAGTGACTGCTAGGACTCGGGCTTCCGGTCCTCGATGCCTGTTACTACCTGTCGAGTGACGAACAAATCCTGGAGGTTTCGGCTGCAGGTGATCCTACTTAATCCTAAACCCTAAACCCTGTTTAGAAACTCACATTAAGTTCCTTAACAAGAGCCAAGAAGAAGCTTGAGGCTGCAGTATCGAGGGTTGAAAGTCTCAGGGTTGAGACTTTGGCCCTAGTTTTCGGGTTTAGTGGCGGCTTAAAAGGGGGTGGTCATTACCACAGGGTCCTCCTAAGTACCGAGACGCTTACCCAAACCATAATATGTAATAGCTCTACCATTCAAACACTACTTTGCACTACAAGTATGAAGGTGCTTAGGACCTTTTTGGAATTGTAGTGCTCCGCGGTTGATACCTGGCTCGACCCTGCAGGCCGTGATGCAGATGGAGTCCGTAGAAAGAGCTACCTTAAAACCTTCTTCCCTGAACCCTCCCAACAGAAGCCTTCATCCCTTGGGCCCAAAGCGCCAAGCTTTCAACAGAACCCCAATGCATCTTTTCCCTTCGGGTGAATCCTTCTCGTAGAACCCACAAAGGAACACTTGCAGGAGTCCTTGTACATATCCTTTAAGAACTCTCTGTATAGAGGCCTTAAGAATGAAATAGAACATAGTTGGGCGTATGCTATAGTATGACTACATATGTGGGCATACAACTACACTTGCATGTTCAGCATCCTAGGGAAAACAAACGTTAACCTTTGTAACTGATTGAGTTTATACAGTTTCACACCGAGGTGAAAGGTTGGGCATCTTGAGAAGTCACGGTTTAGACTTCCCACTTAGACTTAAAGGGTTAGAAAACAGGATTCAGAATTTGGGTTTTCGAATTTGGATTTTAGAGCGTATATGTATCATTCAGACTTTAGATTTTAGATGGTTGAATTGAAGGATTAGGCTAGAGTGCCTTTCCGCTCGAAAGGCGGAAGATACCGCGCGCGAAGCTCCAATTGAGCTCCAAACCGCTCCAAGCAACTTAAACCTCCTTAACCCTAAACCCTAAATCCTAAACCCTAAATCCTAAACCCTAAATCCTAAACCCCAATTCCCCAAACCCTAAGCCCTAAAACCCTAAACCCTAAAACCCTAAACCTAAAACCCTAAAGCCTGAACCCTTCCACGGCTCATGGTTTTTCCGCAGCTTCAACCCCTTTACGCAACCTGAGGTCGGAGACCCCCTCTGACGAATACAACCTGGGGCAGCTCAACTCTCCGCCGTCGAAGCCTCAAGCCGTTTAATTATGTAATATAATGGGTTTAGGGTTTAGGGAAACCATAGAATAAATGTATGATAGAACCCGTCACAGAACCCTGGAATCCCCTCGAATCCTACCCTCCTTTGCTGGCAGAGAGGCAGGCTGCCCTAGAATACAAGTTGCGATCGCAACGTCCCCAAGTTGGAGGTTGTTCAAGCTCTCGGGTGGGGTTAGGGCCCTAATGGTCTATGGGATTTACAGCAATAGGAGAAGGGAAGCTACGTAAAATAATTAGGGTTGTGGGGCATATGACATCAAATATGGCAGGAATCCTGGAATAATGTTGGCTAATCATTCAGGCTGCCATAGGTTGCATGTTGCGGCCCAGAGCTTCAGGTTTGTGCTCTAGGGCCCTAGGGCTTAGGGTGGTCAGTGTTCAGTGTTGCGGGACATGTAGACCAAAGCGCTACATGCTGGCAGCAGCGCAACTTTAGTTCATCAGACAAGCTGCAGTAGCCTCACTACAGGCGCTCGACAAGTGCGCATGGTATACATCAAAAGGCGAGCATCTCCGTCTTGAACAACCTCTGGCTGCAAATGCAAAGCCGACCCGCTTGGCGGGACAACGTGGACTGAGCAACATAAATGGCTTTAGGCGGTCGAGTAGAAACAAAAAGCCACAGGCATGTTGCGAGCTTCGATTTTGAAACCTGGCCTCGCATGGCATCCAAACCTTCACTACAATGAACCCTCGCCTCACACATCTTGCCATGTCGAGGTGCTTCTACAGTCCTGAACGTTTACAGCGTATACAGCGTAAACTCTGAACCCGAAACCTTAAACCCTCAAGCCCTAATCTAGACATACAATTGTGGGCTTAAGGCTCAGGGTTCGGGTTCAGGAAACTGACGGCCGGGGAGCATCTAGGGCTGTTGTAAGTCCTACGCACGTCGCCCTACAGCCTCCACTACCACTGTTGCTATAAACTACCGAAGCCATCTTTTTCTTGATAACTCACGATTATAAGTTTATAAGGCGTCTACGTTTGATCGCAAAAGGTCGCCAAAAGCCAACTGTAATGACGTAAGAAAACAAGGAGCTCACGTGCCCGCTCTGGAAGCGAGAAGGATGTCTGCGAAGCCATACGGTGGAGCGGCCTGGGTTCTGAGCCGTTTTGGGCTCCGGGTTTAAGGTTTAGTTTAGTGTTTAGGGGTTTAGGGTTTAGCGGTAAGTCCTCAAGTTTTAATCGTGGCATTGCTGGCGTCAGGCAAAAGACCCACAGTCGGAACGAACCGCATTTTCCCACCCTCCCCGTCCCCAGACTCCCACACCACACCCAGCCCCCCCCACCCCAACGCAACCAACGACAAAGGCAAACAGAAACCGTTGGGCCCCGCACAGTTGGTGCTCGCTCCTCGTTGCCAGGTGCTTCGCCGGGCCTGGTCAACGCAGCCACAGCAGCAGTAGAAAGGCAGCTGTAGTATCCGTCATCATCGTCGTCCGCGGCAGCGCAGCAGTGGCGGCACGAGCAGCACGAGAATAAGCAGCAGTAACAGTAGCAATAGCAGCAGTAGTCGTAGCAGTAGTCGTAGCAGTGATCGGAGTTGCAGTCGCAGTGGCAGTCCCAGCAATAGACGCAGCAGCACTGCCAGAACGAGTAGCACGCTCTATCGACTCTGGCAGCTTTTATGTATTTGACAACTATAAGCTGCACACATCATACACAAATAGAATCTCGAATGCCTAAATTTAAATGGGACCCACTGACCCCCCCCTTGGAAACTTCCACCCTGCCGAACCAAAGCCTAACAACTACAAAACAGAGATGGTATCTGCGGCGCGAACTGTTGGATCAAAAAACTACGCCCTCAACCCTGTCTTTTGACCTTCGACCCGACACCCACACTTCTGGAGCTTCTCTTCTTTGAGTCTCGCAGCATCCTATGCAATCTGAACCCCACCCGATTGGGAGTTTCCAAAAATTTGGAGTGCCCTTTCTGGATTCCTTTTTAAAAAATCCTACTAGGTAGGGTACTATATTTGGGTCCCTTATTGTCGGAAACTCACCCGATGGTCGCCTTGAGGGTACAGAGCTGCATCGACGCTGCACCGGCGCACGTAGTGCCTTAGTGGACCGAGGCGTATCTAGCCTTTACCCCTATAGGGATCAATACAGC